TGGCTCCTCACTCCCTCGATTCCGCCGTGTGTTGTCAGCACTGGGATGCTCTGGGTCTGTGCCATGTGCCAAACACCATCTAAGCTGCCAGGGCATCATCGTCATCCTCCCATCACCATCCCTTCGCCACATCCTGCCATCATCCCTGCACTTTTGCCTCTCACCATCCCTACGCCATCTCCTTGTCCACCTCCAAAACCCCCTCCATCCCTCCCTATTCTGTTGCTTGAACTTTATCATCTTCAGTCTTTGAAAAACAAAGTGCATAAGTGAATAGCTTGTGTGTGCAGTCTTTTTCATGTATTTTTTTCTTCAGAAAATTGCATTGTAATTTTTATTTATTCACTAATGTAAAATTCTGTACTTTTTTTAGTAAGGCCGGTATAACTGAAATGTTCTACAAATGGAAAAGATAGCTCTGCCATAGCTTTTCAGTCTTTTTTTATAATGTATTAAAATGTACTTGAGAATGTTTGTAGTAATACAAATTTACTATAAACATACTTGTATTTCAAGTGCATTTTTAATACATTTAATAGTATGTTTTGTTTTTCACCAAAGTATATATGCTGCTGTCCTTTTAGTGTACTTTAAGAATATTTGTAATGTACACAACAATATATAATACATTAAAGTTTTCTAGATATCAAAGTGTGTACGTGTGTGTATATACTGAAAAAAAGCAGCTTTATAATATACTAGTAGTGTAATGCTAATGCATTTCCAATGAGCTGAAATACAATTGAAATGTACTTGACGTACACTAAAACGATGCTTCAAATATACTCTAACTGTATTTCATGAAGTATTAAAAGGACATTTTAAATGTATTTTAAGAAATACACTTGAAATACACTTAATATACTTAAAGTTGTTTCAAAATAATACATTTAATATGCACTTAGTATAGTATAATTTAAATATAGTAAGTATGTCTGAAAAGGCACAATTTAAATATATTTCTTTTTCACCTGGGCCTGTGTGCGATTAGCCATGGTTATGTGAAGGGTTGTGATAGTAAGTCGAAGGTGTACTCTACCATCATGTTTCATAGAATTCCAACGATAAACAAGAAACAAAAGAATCAATGGCTGGCTGCTCTGAACATGCTAACGGTCTAATCAGATTCAATGATCTATGCTAAGATGCAGCTAAAAGTGCTACTGCCAGACCTGGAGATCGACTGAATGGATTCGAAAACAGTAAAACTCAACTGTTTAACTCTAGGGGAGTTGGAAAATGAGCCTATTTGCAAAAATAGTGGCGTGTTCCTTTTTTGATGTGTTGATTAATATATTCATTCATACTAAAGCATGTCAAGTACTTGATTACACATTTACATTTATGCATTTAGCATCCACTTTTCAAAGCAACTTACTCTACATAAGAACAACAAAAGCAATTTGTCAAAGTGCAATATTTACCATGTACAAAGTCAGGTTTATTAGACAAGATTAGAAGGCAAGATAGAGACGAAGGCTGTTTGAAGACATGCTGCCATGTTCTGGATAATTTGCAGAGGCTTAAGGCCCGTTCACATCAAGCATGATAACTATAAAGATAACGATAAAGATATAGTTCTAAAAATCATTCTCAATATTAAAGAATAGCAGAGTCCACACTACAACTATAAAGATAACGATACAGAGGAACGATATCGTTGTGATCACTTTCAAAACGATTTTTTTTCCAGCTGATGAACGATAAAACACTGACAGCCAATCAGAATCCATCCTGCTGTCGCTCAAGAATTTAAAGCGGCAGACATGCATGCGCTTAGAATAAACAGACGATATCGTTCGCTGGTGTGGATGCTAATATCGTTATCTTTATAGTTATCTTTATAGTTATCGTTCTTGGTGTGAACGGGGCTTAAGTCATGCTGGCTTAAGGGCCTGCCAGTAGAGCACTGCAGTAGTCCAGTCTTAAAATGACAAAGGCTTGGACAAGGAGCTATGCCACACACTCAGAAAGAACCTGAATTTCTCTACAGTGCAAACCTTGATGGTCGGTTGTTGAAATGTGGGTGGAAAAGCTCAGTTGGCCGTCAAAAAGTACCTCCTGGTTGGTGTTAGTGTTGTTGACTCCAGGTGCCCAGTAATGTTGTGGTCAACTGACGGATTTGCTGGCCTTACAAGGAGCTCTGTCTTCATAAGGTTGAGCTGTAGATGGTGCTCCTTCATCCAAGCAGAGATGTCCGAGCGGCAGACAGAGATACAAGTTGAGACAGTGGAATCATCAGGTTGAAATGATAGATAGAGCCATGTATCATTTGCATAGCACTGGAAAAGGACATGTGCCTTTATGATCATTCACAGTAAAGTTGTGTAAATGGAGAAAAGAAGAGGTGCAAACACTGAACCTTGAGGCACCACTGTGATTAGCTGATGTGAATCAGTCACCCATCCTCTCCATGAAACCTTCAAAGATCTGCCTGTGAGCTAAGACTGAAGCCACTGAAGTACTGTACCTGTGATGCCCAAGTCAGAAAGGTTGAACGTGAAGATGTGGTGGTCAACAGTGTCAATGGCAGCAGAAAGGTCTAGTGCAGTGGTTCCCAAACCTTTCCTGGAGGCCCACCTGCCCTGCACTTTTTGTATGTCTCCCACCTAATTCCACTCATCAGCTCGTTAGTAGAGACTGCAATAACTAAATTGGGTGTGTCTGATTAGGGAGACATACAAAATGTCCAGGACAGGTTTGGGAACCACTGGTCTAGTGTAATAAGGGCAAATTGGATTTTAAAGCTAAGGATTTTAGACCTATCCCTCCCTGTTTGCTCCACTTCCTTCACCTTTACCTCCCCTTACTCCCCTTACTCGTTCTCTTAGATAATCTGAACTTGGCTTTTTGTATGTTTATTGTATTAATTCTGCGTTTTGTACCTGTGAAATTAACCTGAAATGTACTTTTTGTAAAGCGACCTTGAGCTGTGGAAAGGTGCTACATAAAACAACAACTTCTCGCCAGCTGAACAGATTCAGCAATGGTCAGCTGAGCAGGATCTCCATGGAGTGTCTGCTTTTGAAGCTAAACTGGTTGTTGTAAAGTACATTGTTCTATGAAAGAAGGCAGAGAGCTGATTGAACACAACTCTTTCAAGAGGTTTAGACAGAAAACTGGAAGTGAGTATTGGCTTTTTGAGAAATGGGGGTTACCCTAGCCTACTTAAATGTGGTAGGGTAGGAAATCTGCCAGTAGTAATGGGTGTTTATATTGTGAGTCAAAATGGGTAGCAATGCTGGTGAGATCTCCTGAAAATGGTGGGAGGGGATTGGTTCTAAGGGACAAGTTGCAGGACGACTAGCAAATTGAAATGTACAGACCTCATTCTTTGTGGGAAGAGGAATATGTGTGAATGGATGTTGGCTAGAGGTAAGGAGTGCAGAGAACTGGTTGCTGATGGTTGTCACCTTATTGGTGAAATAGCTGGCAAAGTCATCAGCAGTCAGAGAAGAGGTGGGAGGAGCTGGTTGGGTACAGAGTAGAAAGGAGAATGTTGTGAATAATTTGAGGTGTTGTTGATTTTGCTTTGGTAATAGACCATAGCAACAGAAACACTATAGAAGAGAATGATACTTCACCAGAAGGCCAGCTGAGTCCATTTTCTCAGCAGCTCTGAGCCTGGTTCTGTGGTTACAAAAACATCTTTTAGCCTGGGACTGGAGGTGTTGCATATGCTAGCCTGGATGTGAGAGGACAGATGTTCTTGAGGTAGGATGTTAAGGTGGAGCATGGAGTGTCTGTGGTTTTATTGACATTGAGAGAAGAAAACTGGTCGGTGAGGGAGAGGAATGCAGAGACCAGAGAGGAAAAGCATAGGGAGAGAGAGAAGGTTATGGCAGTTACGGTAAAAGCAGACAGAAGAGGAGGCCGTGGTGAGCCTCAAGGCAGAGTGACAAGAGAACTGGGGAAGTAGGAGAGATGTGGTCAAGTAATATGATGGTTGTCACGTTATGTGTTAGGATGAGGTCTGGCTCCACCTGCTTTTTGTGCTACAGGGGTGCACTGTCTTGTGAGGTTGAACAAGGCCAGCTAGGACAGGGGTGTCCAATCTTGGTCCTGGAGGGCCAACATCCTGCAGAGTTTAGAGGTTTGTTTAATTGGGATTGGAGCTAAACTCTGCAGGACAGTGGCCCTCCAGGAGTAGGAGTGGACACCCCTGAGCTAGGAAGTCAGTCACTTGAGGTTAGTTTAGGTGGATGTTGAAGTCACCAAGGACTACCAGTGATGTGCCATCTTCTAGAAAAGAGGACGTTGTCTAGTTGACCTGCCAGACAGAAGATGATGACAAGATAAAGTCTGACAGGATTAGTTTCAATAATGGCATGCTATTGCAGGGAGGAGAAAGAGGAGTGAATTTTCAGATGTTGGTAATGAGTAGACCTGAGGGTATTACACGGAAAATCAGAAAGTAGTAAAAATAAAAAGTAATACTGAAATAGTGCAGCGTGCTGCTGTGCCTTGTCAACGCCCTTGCTTGTCTTTACCTGACCTGGTCTTCACACAAATAAGTCTTTTAACAAGGGCCATTGCTTCTGCTTCAATAATGTTTGCTAATTCAAATTTTAACTGTAATGTGTTATTCGATATTCAATTTAAAGGTAATATATTTTGAATGCACTAACTTGCAATTTGATCATTACAAATGTGTAATTACAAATATATTTAAATACATAAAATGCAAGTTAATTAAGTCAAGTCAACAGAAATTACATTAAAGTATATTTTAGTTTACTAGTTCTACTAAATGCATTTAATATAAATTTAAACTACAATACATTCTCATTTAATTGCAAATAACATGCAATTAAGAGTATGAAAAACATCACATTCAGTTAATTATATTCTTTTACATTCTTTTATATTTTAGAAAGGTGAAAAAAAAGGAAATGAAACTACAATCTTCGATAAATTAATCAAATATGACTGTTATGAGTCAGTATGAGTGTGCACAGAACGCAACACAATAATATGCAAAGAGTAACCCGGATGCGACATGAAATCGACAGTTCAGGAGGCAAAACAGTTGGTCATGACACGTGGAAGACAAAGGGTATTTTATATGTACAAAATGCAGAATTAAAAGTTATTTTCTATGGAAAGTTAAAACCGAAACCTAAAATATTACAATGGTGAACTTCCTTTATTGCCGAATGGTGTGTTGGTGGATTTTGATAGTGTTTGAAAGCGTGTTTAGCATTAGCCTGTGTGGCTAGGTCTTGTGGGTAAGGCGAATGTTTGAGTTTTGGTTTTAAAAACCTGATGTTATCATCATATTGTGGAGGACAGTGATGAAAAATGATCAATGTTACTATTTGGTTAATTTCATTGTAGGTTTCTGGTCAAGTCATTTGCCTAATCAAATATGTTTTAGATGGGACGGAGGACAGAAGGCACATCCAACAGATCAGAACACAGTGCAATCAGATAAATATTGAATCAGTAGGGGCTTCTGGATTGTTTAGCATGAATTTTGGATTGCTAAGGTCATGCTTAGGAAATGTTTAGTAATTGGAATAATTATTGAGTCTAAAAATATTTTGCTATATCCACTGATTTGCCTTTTTTAAACTTTTTTTTTTCTTTTCAGGTCCCAGTCCAATGTGAAGACATTGTATGTTTGTTTTGGTTTATTAAAATATAGAATAAAATATCTGCTTAAACACTTGCAAATTTTAGATAATGTGTTGAAACTCTTTGTAGATTTCAGTTCAGTGTCAGGATGACCAATTTGGGTTGGATGCTGAAGTGGTTTATGATGATACATCCTTTCCCTTACGGAGGTGCACTCCATTTGTGACTGGGTCATATCACGGGTAAACCTTCTGAAATGTATCTGACACATTTTGTATTATAAAGACATTTAGTTTTCAGCCTTTTGAATTTTATTTTATTTTTTTGTTTGCAATTTGATTGTGTCATATTTGGCATCAATCTGTTTTCCTCACATTTTATATGTGGGACGAAGAGTGAGAAGCTTTCCGTTTAACCTATCTATTTAAGAAAATAGAGTAGTGGTGAAAGATTATAATTGCTCACTCTTGCCGTGAAGGGTTCTCGGTCTCTTAAGTGATTTCATGAATAATACAGAATTGAAAGTTTTCTTTTGGCCAAAAATATCAAAAAGTTAATATAAGACCGCGGTCTCTATTTTGTGTTTTGTTTGGCCATTCTATAAATTGTGAAAAGTGCACTAAAATTGACGAGACATCTTTGATCTCCGATGGGGCAGACGATCTCGAAACCTATTCTTGGCGAGTTGCCAAGGGATTGGATGTATAGGAATAACAAAGGTTTTAATACTGAACCGTATTTTAGTAATTTGGCTGGTTGGTCAAAAGGCAAAGTACAATTAGATCCGTTTCCTCGTGATGGCTCGTTCAAAGATAAAG